ATAAACTAATTATAACTCTAATAAAATTTTCTAACATCTGAAGTCATTAGAATGCAGACAATAAAAGAAAAATAATTAGAAAATTACTACTAAGCTGATAAGTTACTCTATTAAATAATGATTTTTAATAATACTAACTTTCTAATTTGAAGAAAATTATATAAAAATATTTATGTATTAGTACTCTGATTTCACAACTCTTATCTGATAACTTTTATAAATAATTATCTTATATATATATATCTCTGAATCTTTCTCTTCAATTAATTGACAACTCTGAATTCTGAATACTTCTTTAAATGCTTAATTCAAATCTTCATATTTTATATCAATCATATCTTCAGTTCAATCTTGAGATACACTATAAAGTTAATATATAATATCTAGAATCAGAGTTGAAGAATCATTGAAGAGTATCTCTCACAGTGAATATATAAACTAGTATAAACAATCTTACATTTATAAGAGTTATATATTATTATATTGATGAGAACTGAACTTATTAAGAGATATTAATTGAATTTAAATCATTGATCAGTAGTCATACTGAGAATTATATAGCAGAGATATTAATAACAGTGATTAAAAATAACTATTAAGATATTAGTCTCAGTCTTCTTACAATTATAACTGATAATACTGTAAATAACTACACTATAATGAACAGATTGAAGTAAAAATTGACTTTGTATTTCTGAAATAATAAACAAGATTATATTCTCTATATTACTCATATGATTTAACTTATAATATAAACACTGATAAAGAATCTTAATATTAAGATAATAAATAATGAGATGACTGATTCTTGAAATGAGAATGAGATGAAAGTAATTACTTAAGTAACTTTTATATTCACTTTATAAAAGATAATATTTTTTAATAATACTTTTTAATATTACTTTTTAATAATACTTTCTAATAACACTACTGTTAATTTTGAATAGATTGATTAATAATTTAAATATCACAGATTTGAAACATTGTTAATATAATTTATATCTTCTCTAAATAATAATAACAATTTCATAATATTCAATAAATAACAAATTAGTCACATTACAGAATATGATATAGAATATTAAAACACAGTAAAGTTCAATATATAAAATAGCTGTTCAGACTCTTTGATTACATCAGATAATTAATCATTAAGTGTAATACTCTGATTGAGAAAAGATTCAGATATTAAAACTTTCTGATATAAAGTGAACTCAGTTGAAATATGTAATTAGTTTACTGTTTCAGTTTTATAAGATAATAAAGATAGTCTTAATCACTTATACATCAATACTGCAGTCAGTCTGATAAGTATATAACAGTTTATTTACTAATCTTAAGAAGCAGTTAAATTACTTAAAAAGAAATTCAGTCTGAGATAATACTATAGCACAGACTATTATTACTGTAGAAAATAAACTAGTACATTATTACAGTAAAACTGAATAATCTTTTATAGAGTACTATACTGTAGCAGCTCTACTAGATCTCTTCTGTTAAGTTAATATCTACACTTCTCAAGATTGAATAGAGAAGAAATAAGACTTATATATTAAATTAGTTCAAGACTACTATAATATCAACTATCAGAGATTTGAATAAGCAGATATTAGTGATATAAAGACAGTGAAATATAATTCTCTAGTAAGTAATAATCTTTGATAATACTTTATATTATATAGAACTATAATACTAACTTTGAAACAGAACTTGTATACATTAATTACAACTGAAAATCAGACAAAACTACATGCTTATAAAACTGAATTTAACTGCTATCTTTAAGATAATCTGATAAATTTATATATTAAATCAATTTTAGAGTTATGAAAAATTATTAAGAGTATATATTTAACTGTTGCACTGATGATACATGATATTCTGACAATTTCATTAACAGAGATAAGAATAAAGTGAAAGTTCAACTTAAGCTGAGATATTTATCACTATTATTAGAGATAATTATAAGAAGAAATAATCAAGAAACTTATAATTATAAAATATAAAATTATTAGACAGTTTAATACCTCTGATCACAGTATATCAGAGAAGTGTAGTTTTCATAAGAAAGTAAAGAATAAACTTATATAAGAATGTATTTAGTTATTTTATAAGTGTTATTAATAATCATTATCAAATTCTGATTATATAAGCAATCACTGAATGAACTGAATGAGACTGAATTTAATCTTCAGTTTCAGTCTTATTCTGATTTTGAAAGAATGATTATCTTTCACAGTCTATTCTGAGAAATTACTCTTATTTCACTGTTCTTATATTAAATCTGATCATTTTTCACATCATTTTTCTCAGAAATAATTCATTTTCAGATTTTTTTAATGCTTAATTCTGATAAGAACTCACACTAAGAAATGTATGAAATTAGATTAAATAAAACTAAATGTGAAATTTATAGTCTTATCAGCCAGTCTAAATATTTATACATATATAAGATGAAACTTCAGAGTAAAAGAATAGAAGTTTCAGAGTAGAAGAATAGAAACTCTGTAAGTTCTTCAGCTGAGAATCAGTGACTGAGCATTAAGACTTTTAGATAGAAGAATAGAACTCTATAAAGTGTAATAAAATAGTCTTATAATCAGACATAGCTCATCACATATCTAGATATAAAATTAAAATATATAAAGAGTAGAATTAAAATAATACTTTAATATTATATTAATTAATTAATAGAAGATTTTTATTTAAATAATATAACTATTATATATATACTTATAGATAAGAATTTATGTTTAGATAACTTCTTTATTTCTGAAAAAGAAAGTAGTTTTACAAAGTAATAATTTCAATATAATATTAAATATCTGTAATACTTAGCTATGAAACTGTAGTTAAATATTATCTGTATAATATCTCTACTAATATAGAGAAACACTGCTTTTATCTTTAAAATATAAAAGACTCTATTACATATTATTTAATATTTAAAAGAAATATATAAGATTAATATATTCTATATAAAGAATAATACTGAAGAATCTGAGAATGAATTTCTTAATAAAATATATATATCAAATAAGTATATAAATTTCAATTAAATTAATTTATTAAATAATAATTTAAAATCTATATCTGATTTAGACTGATCACTGAGATCATGAATTTCACATTTAATTTCATTTAATCTGATCTTATACATTTCTTGGCATAAATCTCACTGAGACTAGACTGGCCGCTGAGATCATGAATTTCACATTTGGTCTCATTTGATCTGATTCCATACATTTCTTGGCGTGAATCCTGCTGGGACTGACTATCAAAAAAACATGTAAAGTGACTATATATCAGATCTTAAAATGAAATCATGACTTGAAAAAAATGAGAAAGTGGTCTCATTTGGTCTCATTTAGTCTCATTCTTAGCATAAAGTTACTATTTTTAGACATTTTAAGGTTTTTTTTAGACTATTTTTAATTTTTTACAAAGTAACACTTTTTGATAACACTCAAATGAGATTTAAAGTCATTTAAAGCAATAAAAATAATTTAAATTGAGAAGTGAAAATCATGGTCTCATTTGAAAAATGTGATAAGAGTAGACAGTAAGTCTCACTGAGACAGTATGAAACTACTATCTAATGTTAAAACTGTGTAATGAGATCAGTCAAATTGATAATAAAACTATTAAAAAATCTGGTCCTGGTCTCAGACACGGTCACACGGTCAGTCTAACTGAGACTAGTCATTAAAAAAACATGTAAAGTGACTATATATAAGATCTTAAAATGAAATCATGACTTGAAAAAAATGAGAAAGTAGTTCTATTTAATTTCATTTAGTTTCATTCTTAGCATAAAGTTACTATTTTTAGAAATTTTAAGGTTTTTTTTAGACTATTTTTAATTTTTTTAAAAGTAACACTTTTTGATAACACTCAAATGAGATTTAAAGTCATTTAAAGCAATAAAAATAATTTAAATTGAGAAGTAAAAATCATGATTTTATTTGAAAAATGTGATAAGAGTAGATAGTAAGTCTCACTGAGACAGTATGAAACTACTATCTAATGTTAAAACTGTGTAATGAGATCAGTTGAATTGATAATAAAACTATTAAAAAATCTAGTTCTGATCTCAGATATGATAACACAGTCAGTCTAATCTGATTACATCTTTAGATTAAAAATTACACTGATTTCATAATAATTAAGTAAGTAACTTTGTATATTCTTAAACTTTAATAAGACTGAATATATAATATTAAGTGAAGCTGTATATAAAGTAATATAATTAAGAAGTATGATAATAAATCTGAGCTTTATTAAAGTGAAAGACTCTTTATTAATTAAAATAAATAATAAGAAAGTAATTAATCTTACTACAGTGCAGCAGTGTCTGTAATCACTATAAAAAGTAAGTATATTAATATCTGATTTTATTACACTTAGAGTTAGTTGAATAACAGTATATTCTTGACTGATTACATTTTAACTGAGGAAATAGTAGTAGATGAATTGACTAAACTCTTGAATATAATTTCATTTCATTAATTTCTTGATTTACTAGATTTTATAGATGAAGAGAGATGAAATATTCAAACTCAATGTGAATAGCATGATATGAATGGATTTGAGAATGACATAGCTAGATTTGCAAGAGGTGTTTGATCCTTTTTATGGCATTTGAGATCTTGCATTGCAATGCGAGGGGGGCTGTAGCAGCGTCCGCCCCAGTGGCGTTGCCATAGCGATCGCTCCGCCTACACGTGATCTCATATGTAATATAAATATAGCTAGCTCTTCCCACACGAATACAACAGATTAACCATCCCACAGAGAGAGGGTTATCACCCGCCGACCCAAAGTTCTCACTCCTGAAAGTTGGGCAAGCCCAAAATAGCTTTTGCGGTTTTCACATGCTACCCCTAATCAGGTTAACTCGCCCGAGACGACTAGGAAAGGTGACTCACAATATCCCTAGTTCTGGGGTTCCAGTATGCTGAAGACACGTCAGTTATTGTAGCTGCTCTCCCCTCAGCTAGCCTTCCGCAGCAACGCTTCTCTTGCTAGAAATAACCATTTCCCATCTTCATAATGGCTCGTCATCAAATGATGCCCAGTATCGAGTGTCAAACGCCGATAGTCGCCAGAAAACACCTGGCACCCGAAGCCAAAGGTAATATCCAGATTATTTTACTGTATTCTAGGCTGACTTGTTATAGGGAAACAAGCTAAGCGAGTTAAGAGAGAACCACAGAAACAGCAACCGAAGTACTACCGCAGGAGCGTGCGGCTAAGCAATAAAAAAGCCCTTACAACTGTATGTGCACTTCTTCGGCTGTATGACTGAGTGATATGATATCGATGTGACGGAGATATTGCAGGACTCTCCCACCCGCATCCACAACCGAGAACAGAATACAAAACCGAATGATAAACGGCCCTGTGAAGATCAAGCGCGCTCCTCCCCAAAGCGACCCCGCTCGTCTACGAGCTTAGCCATTGAATATCCTTTTGTAGAAGAGCAGCGTGATATTGCCAACTGGAAGAAGGTTGACCTGATCGGATATTGGTGCAAGAACGATCGCTGGCCTATAGAATATTTTGAAGCACAACCTGGACAGATTGAAAATATGAGCCACCTTCTTGCAAAGAAAAAATCAACGGCTTCTCTTCGCCGCAAGAACTCAAATTCAAGTCTTGTTACAGGCTCCAACACTCCTACTGATCAAGAGTCAAGAGACGGAAAGAGTGCAAGTACAGAAGTGCTACTTATGAA